CAAATAAGGCTCTCAGGAATAGCTGAAAGAAATTTTGTTTGTTCGGAATTTCTTAAATGGTTCTGAACTGAGCCATCCGGCACTGATGAGGAAAACTTAATTTGCTGCCCGTCTAAAGAATTTTTCGTATTTTGACTAAGACTCGTACTTAACATTGAGTTATAACCTGTATGAGAGTAAAAAATGAAAAAGTAATAAAAATCAACTTTTTGGCTTTTACCTGTCCATATTTATACAAAAAATTGTGGGAAACTTTCAATGGAAAGAAGAAAGCAATCAAGTTCAAAATGATCTCTTTACAAAAAAATGTGTGGATCATGTATAGAAGATACAAATAGGAAGAGAAATTCCTTCCGATTTTCTTTCAATTCAATGTCAATATATCGAAAGTATCTCATCTGAAAGTGGGCATGATCTACACATCTTTGTGAAAAGTTTATTTCAAACTTAATGGTTTACAACTCACAAACTGAATAGGAAAAAGTGATTTTCGTATAATTCAATATTAACATGAAAATAGTTGTTTTGAGAGTATTCTTTCGTTCGTGTAATTCAATGTTCACGTGAAAGTAGTTGTTTCGGGGGTATTTTTTCTAGTTTCCATTAAAAAGTAACTTCTATGCATGATCAACATATTTTTGTGAAGAGTTTGTTTTGAAATCAATTGCTTCTTCCTCCCTTTTTGAGTTTCCGACAATTTTTTATATAAAAATGGGGATGTAAAAGCCAAAAATCTTTTTTCTCATGAACTTATCTCTCTTGAATATAGGCAAGTATGAACGATGGACAACACTTGATTGCCAAAATGGGACTCATCATCCCAAACTAACACATACATGTAAATGTAAAAACATTCCTAAAACATAAATAGGTATATTAAGAGATGTAGACTTAAATGTTTTTTTAAAGATCAGCACCTAAAAATTCTTGGACTCTACAATAGCATTTCTATAAAAACAAGTTTATTTTGAAATATGGTATAACATTTACTACCTGGTATTTTTTCAATAATAATAATAGCAATGATTGATTTTCCCAAGGAGCATACTTGATTGTAGTAGGGAAAAACCCAATAATCATTACATAGTATAAGTCGCTTTCNTCAGTAATCTAGAGACATGCAACACATTTTTAAAATTTATGAAAACATTTCATTGGTATTATATTTTCAAATTATTATTATATTGTTTTTATTCTAATACAGTAAATTTTTCAGGAAAGCATGGAAATTATCTGCAAAGAAGATGGTAAACTACTAATTGAACAAATCCAGCTGTGTGAATCAATTGCCATTCTTATTATGGAAGTGGCATTTCCAATCTTATTGATTATTGTTCTGACGGCTATAGGCTTTGCTTTGTACTGTTTCTATAAAGAAGAAGTCAAAATCTGGCTTTATGAGAAGAAGTTATTTCTTTGGCTCATTACTGAGGAGGAACTTGACAAAGATAAAATTTGGGATGTTTTTATCAGTTACTCTCATAAAGATGAAGATTTTGTTTTAAATAATTTACTTTCTGTATTAGAAGCAGGTCCGAATCCATTCAAAACTTGTGTTCATGTTAGAGACTGGGTACCAGGTGAAACAATCACTGGACACATTTCAAATTCGGTGAACAATTCCAGAAGAACGCTGGTGGTTCTCTCCAACAACTTCTTGGAGAGCGTTTGGGGAAAAATGGAGTTCAGAACGGCACATACCAAGGCAATCCATGAAGGAAGAGCTAGGGTAATCATTATAAAGTATGGTGAATTGGATGATGATAAAGTTGATGAAGAATTGAAGGTGTATCTCAAAACTAATACGTATGTAGAGTGGGGAAAACCTTGGTTTTGGAGGAAACTCAGATATGCTCTTCCGCATTCTCATTCCCAAAATATTCACAGAAATCGAAGACATGCCAACATGATGTTCAAAACTGATCATAAATTTAATATTTAGTTTCTTTTTTGTTCTAGACTAATTGAGGATACCTTTTACATAAGATGGCATGATTTGAAATATTTATATTCTAATATTTTATTTGTTCCAAAGGAATTTACAGCAATATTGTAAAGATGAGGGTTGAATATTTGACTGTAATTCCATCAATTTGGAAATTCCTTGCAATACATTTTTTAAATAATTGTACAAACAATTTCGAAACAATCCCTCATATATATGGAACACAAAGAGTGTCCTTCAGACGAAAAAAAATATTGATGTTTTATTAGATATACGCTGTCGTCAGAGTTCGCTTGACGTCATCAGGTTGATTTTGAACAAAAGCTGAAAGACGCCTTAATCTGTATATTGTGTGATTGGCATCAAATCAATTTTAAAAATTGAAATAAATGAAGAAGAGTATCATGAAAGTTAGCTGTTACAAATTGGTTTCGTTCAATCATCTAAGTCAAAGTATATAATTTAGAATTAATTATCCTAACTCCCGGATAAATAGTTTGAAGTTGTGTCACTGAATATGAATTATTACAATTACGTTAGTATGATTGATTCAAAGAATAATTTGAAGTACAATAAATACTCTTTGAAGGACTGAAACTAGTAATTCTCAGTAATTTTTTCCTAGACAATCATTCTGAATACACTGATTCCATGAAAATTTATAATACTATCCATGATAATAATTATACAATTTTCAGGAAAGATTTTATTTAAGGCACGTTTCGCCATAGGGTACCTTACTGATTAACTTACTGATGAACAACTTTGTTATGTGATGGAGTTTGACGATACCTACTTGATGAAAATCCATAACTTATTCAAGTAACACTTCATTAAGAGATTTTCATTGGACAATTTACAAAACCGCAACACGTAATTCGCTATACAATAACTTCCTTAGACTCATACTGACCGTATACAAACAGCCAGTATTAAAACTCATTTGAATTGAAATTAAAATGAAATTCCAGTGACTTATCGCTCATCATCGTGTTCAATAAACTCACCAGTTGTGATAATAAAGGATACCTAGATCTTCTTGAACATATTTCATACGTTCATACGGTATATCATCCGATTTTTCGAATTTTGAATACGGATGTCTTTTTTACCAATTTTACGATAAAGTATGTTCATATAATATCGTGTAATTTTTGGGAACGATTTTGGCTTTCTACTTTTCCATCTTTATATAAAAAATGTGGGAATCTTCCAAAGAAAGGAAGAAAGTAATTAATTTCAAAATGAACTCTACAAATATGTATAGATCATGCAAAAAAGTAACTTTCAGAAACAAACTGGAATAAAAAAACTCTCAAAACAACTACTTTTCATGCAAGCCAACGTTTTAATGTTACAACATTGTTATCCTTTACAGTTGCAAATTTTAGTTTTGCTTCAGGAGCATTTTCTTCTGTTAAAAACATTCTTTTTTAATTGTACTTCAGCATATGTTTATATGAGGATTAGGCAGTGTTTGTCCCTACCGAACTACTAGCGCTGCTATAAAAGTGATTTTTCGTACTTCAGGAAAAAGGTTCATTGGGGAAACATATGTATAATTCAATGTCCAAAAGAAAGTATTTTTTCTTTTGTGTAATTCAAGGTTTAAACGAGAGTAGTTGTTTCAAGAGAGCTCTTTATTACAGTTTGTATGAAAGTTACTTCTTTGCATGATCTACACATCTTTGGAGAGGATTCATTTTGAAGTTCTTTGCTTTTTTCCTGTCTTTGGGAGATTTCTACATTTTTTTTCTATAAAGTCAGATAAGTAAAAAGCCAAAGCCTTTCTTCCCCACTCTCAAGTTGTGATACAGTTCTCTGAAGTATGGTTCAATTATGAAATTATCACAAAAAGACATTACTTATATATAAATATTCGTCATCTACTCTAGCTATTAATATTGGAAAATAGGATAGTACTTAATAATATGTGCTTTTTGAATAGACTTTTAACAAGTAATATTGACTGTGATGAAATCGTATCCTTAGTTAAGTTGAATATGAATGGACAAAGTAGAGTCATCAATGAGATTTTGTGTTGAGTATGTTTCAAGATGTAGATATTTTCTGCTGTTCGAAATGAGTTGTTTGAATGACTGCAATTAAATTTGCATATGTTTATATAGTAACACTATATATTGGTATTTATTGTATTGTTTTATATTTATTTTGTATTCTGTTTATATTTTTGTATTTATTTTAAAATTTTTGTTTTTTTAACAATGTATTTTTCAATTATAATTGGAACTGTTGTATAAATAAATTATATTGAATATTTATTTCATTTCTATACACCCAAGGTTGTTTACTTCAAATTTATTTGAGTAGATTCTACCCACCCCAACTCAATCTAATATTCCATATTCAAGTTGTGTTTCAACAAGCTGAAAATGAAAATGGTGGAAAATCAAAAAACTTTTTGGATTTCGTCAGAAGATTCCCAATTTTTTTCAGCAAATAACTGATTTGATGATACCATTTCAAATGTTTGTCGATGATTTTGTCCACATATTTGAAATCAGCCTAAAATAATTCTATATTTTAGCAATAACTTCCGAAAATGTTATAACAAATAAATTTAACAACTTTCCAAAGTATGTGGCCCAGATACCCTCCCAACATTTTTCATCAAAAAGTGTTCGGAAAGTTTGTCTTACCTCTTTTCAATAGATACTTGAGGAAAGGATATTATCCTGAATTCTGGAAACAAGTCTATGTTGCCCCTTTACACAAATCAGGTAACAGACAATTGCTCCAGAATTATAGACCTATCTCAAAATTATCTATTGTAGCTAAGTTGTTTGAATCAAGTGTGTACGATTATTTATATTAAGACTAATCAATATTTTCAATAAAAACCAACACGAATTCATTAAAAAAGATCTGTCAAAATAAACTCATTCGAATAAATTTAAAAAATCTTAATAGCAAAATTCAAGTAGGTGCTATTTACACGTACTTCAGTAAAAATGTAAAAAAAATGAGTATGGTTTACTAGTGTTCAAGCTTGCTGAAGTCGGTATTACTGGATCACAGCTGAATTTGTTTCGATCTTACATGAGTAACCATTGTCAGGCAGTTTGTATTGGAAATAATATTTCAAACTCAATTTGGAGTTCCACTGGGATATCATTTGGGCCTATTACCCTTTCAACATTTACTTAAAAACTATTTCAGAACGTTCCAAGTTTTCCAATTTTCTCATGTTTGCTGACTATATGAAAATATTCCATGCAGTCTCTAACTGAAATGATTATCTGCTAATATGAAAAGACCTCGACAGGTTTATGAAATACTGTGAAAATAATGGGCTTTTCCCAAACCTTCACAAATGCTATCAAATTACATTCTGTCGAAATTTTTCATCATATTTTGGCTATAAATTAGAAAGCCATCATCTCCAAATATGTAATGAAGTAAATTGATTTTTGATAGGCACATATCTTATATTACTAAAAGAGCAAATAAAATGCTTGGTTTCATTATACGGACAAACAATACAAAAACTCTTTATGACATACGTAAATAGCTTCCTGAGCTTTGCCTCAACTATTTGGAATCCTCATTATATTATACATATAAAACAAATCGAAATCATTCAAAAATGAGTTCATAAATCAAGTCAACAAAAAATATTTCACAATATTCACCAGATTTGGCCTCCTGAGACTTTTTCCTTTTTGCAACATTGAAGAGACCCATGAAATGAAGGCATTTTGCGACGATTGAGGAGATAAAAACCAAATCGCGGAGAGAGCTCGAAGACACATTAAAAACTGCATATTGGAAAAAAAACGCTGGACAAGTGTATCATATCTGAAGAGGGCTACATTGAAGGGGAAAAAATAGGAATTGATGAATAAATAAATATTCTCTTAGCAAAAAATCATCTTATTTTTGAACAGAGTAGTATATGAAATATCACAAATTTAAATTTGCTGTGTCAAATGAAACTACAAGTATTATTCATATTTTCATATTCAACATTTGAAGTATATATATATAAAGACATTCAATACATAACAAATTAGTTATTCAACGATGATATACATTTAATCCAATTCTTAGATCATATTATCGCCTCAGACACCATTTATAAATGTGAATATAAGAATTTGAAATCACAGAATATACAAGTCACTATCTCCTAGCTTTAAAAAATACTTGAAGGTTAGTTGGTTTGTCACAAGAAATACTTCCTTGGCCCAAATTAGTTGATGGTGTCGGCTACAAACAGCAATTATTTATTCAAAGCACAGAGGAACCGAAGTGAAAGGAAGAATCGGACTATTTTTTTCCTCCATAAGAGCTGTTGCCATGGCATCACCTGCTTTCTCAAACTCTCCTAAAGCTTCTAGAACTTTCCCTAAGTTATACCTGAAAAATCATATGGTATAAAAATTACTGAAAATAATATTTATTCACTCAGATCATCTAAAGATGACAATATGTCAAATAAAAAAATGTGTACAAATACATTTACAGCTGGTTGCAATTGCATATAAATAACTTATAATTAACACTTCCACCTCTAGTAAAGAAACGTTAGAGCTTTTGAAAGAAAACCACTCGGACGTCGCAAAAAATGTTATGACAGCACCGGCAGTTGAATGGGCTATCAAGTCTTTTCAGCCCTTCAAATCTCCCGAAGAGGATGGTATATTACCAGCTCTTCTTCAAAACGGACTGGAAATAATTTTACCTATTCTCACAAAATTGAATAGAGCTAGCCTGGCGTGGAACTATATACCACCCAGTTGGTTGGCAGCAAGGGTGGTATATATACCTAAAGTGGGTCGGAGAAACCCACACCCCAAAAAGTGGAAAAAGTTTTACACAAAGCCAGACTCTCTCTATGGACATGTCGAAGGATTTGTGGTAAAACTTGGGGTTTAGGTCCCAAACAAATCCATTGGATTTATGTGATGATTATCAGACCAATGATCACTTATGGTGCAATTGCTTGGTGGCCGAAGGCTTTACAGAAAACGGCCCAAGCAAAGCTCTCTGGCTTACAGAGACAGGCTTGTCTGGCTATCAGTGGTGCCATCAAGACCACACCGTCAGCGGCCATGGAGATCCTTTTAGATCTACCTTCTCTCCACATTTTTCTGGAAAGAGAGGCTAGATGGACTGCATACAGACTTGTGCACATTGCCAATTGCACACACCTTCCGGTTCTGGTGCAGGTGTTTTCATTCGCAGATCCAGGACATAGTTATCTACCTGCCTAGGAACTTATGCGACTGTATTCCAAGCGGAAATTTACGCTATTGAATTGTGTGCGAAGAGATAGGACAAATTCAACCTCACTCACAAGTCAAAAAAAATTATCTCGGACAGTCAAGCGGCGTTGGAAGCTCTTGGCTCCTACCGAGCAAGTCTAAATTGGTAGCAAACTGCCAAAAAAGACTCTCCTCGATAGGAAGACTAATCATATTGTCTCTGGTCTGGATTCCAGGCCTGGAAGGCAATGCAGCTGCTGACTCTCTTGCAAAGGAGGGTGCTGCAAGCGGCTTCATTGGACCAGAACCTGTCATTGGCATCGCTTTGGACTTTGCTAAACAAACACTGAACACCTGGATGGCAAGAAGAGTTATGGACTTCTGGCACAATCTTCCAGGATTGGCTCACTCCTAGGCGTTTATTCACCCTTCGAAGTTTGATTCCAAACAGTTGTTGGACTACAGTAGGGATGAACTACGATGTCTAACAAGCCTTCTGACAGGTCACTGTCATTTGAATCATCACATGCAGAGACTTGGACTGTCGGAAGACAGTGTGTGTCGCCTCTGTCTGGAAA